AGATGGGGGATGCAGATGGGATATTTAGTGTTGGATTTTTTTATCGAAATGGAATTGGAACTAAAAAGGATGAATACAAGGCATTCATTTATTATCAAAAATCTGCAGAAATAGGGCATGCTAAAGGAACATATAATGTTGGATATTGTTATCAAAATGGAATTGGAGTTAAAAAAGATGAACATAAGGCATTTATTTATTATCAAAAATCTGCAGAGATGGGGGATGTTGATGGAACATATATGGTTGGATATTGTTATGATGATGGAATTGGAGTTGAAAAAGATAAACACAAGGCATTCATTTATTATCAAAAATCTGCAGAGATGGGGGATGCCGATGGAACATTTAGTGTTGGATTGTGTTATCGAAATGGAATTGGAGTTGAAAAGGATGAACACAAGGCATTCATTTATTATCAAAAATCTGCAGAGATGGGACACGTTAATGGAACATATAATGTTATCAAAATGGAATTGGAATTGAAAAGGATGAACATAAGGCAACCATTTATTATCAAAAATCTGCAAAGATGGAGGATGTTATGAGAACATATAATGTTGGATATTTTTATCTTAATGGAATCAGAGTTGAAAAGGATAAACTTAAGGCATTCATTTATTATCAAAAATCTGCTAAGATGGGTAGCTCTCGGGGAATAAATAATGTTGGATATTGTTATGAAAATGGAATTGGAGATGAAAAGGATGAACATGAGCCATTTATTTATTATCAAAAGTCTGCAGGGATGGGAAACAATTAAGGAATAGGTAATGTTGGATATTGTTATCTTAAGGGAATTGGAGTTGAAAAAGATGAACACAAAGCATTCACTTATTGTCAAAAAGCTGCCGAAATGGGGAATATTAGTTCATTCTGTAACCTTGGAGAATGTTATCAGAATGGAATTGGAGTTAAAAATGATTTAAAAAAAGCTTTTGAACTATATTTGAAATCTGCCAAGCTTGATCGAGCCGATGGAATAAAAAATGTTGGATATTGTTATCGAAATGGTATCGGGACAAAAAAGGATTTAAAAGAAGCCGAATATTGGTTTCGAATTTAAGTTTTTTTTTTTAAAAAAAAATTTTTATCATAATATTAAATATATTTATATTTAAAATTAATAGGGAGAAAACCAAATTTCAAGGAATTATTTCAATTTTTATTTCATTTTATTAAATCTTTATACTTAATGATTTAAAAATCAATAGAAATAAAGAAAATTTCTTATTTTGATATCGATGATAATGTGAAAAAATTATAGGAAGACGAGAAGTATCAATTATTATGGATTCCATATAGTAAATTTGAAAATATTGAAGTGATTGGGAAAGGGGGATTTGCAACTGTTTATCATGCTAAATGTCAAATTGAATATAACCATTCTTCTTACAAATATTCGTTCGCAATTAAAAAAATTCATGGTCAAGATTTTTTTGATGAGGTAAAGTTACTGAGTTTATTAAATATTAGAATTTATTATTAATATTTATTTTTAAAGTTGAAGGCATTTTGCGAGATTGGATATAAAAATCCATCATTCTTAAAATGTTATGGACTATCAAGAAACGATTCGGAAAATTATCTTCTTATTTTGAAATATGCAGAAAAGGGATCTTTACGTAATAATCTTCATGAAGTATCGCAAATGAAATGGAAAGAAAAATTAAATTTATTAAGTTGTATAACAACAGATCTTGAAGCAATTCATTCACAAGGATTAGAACATCGGGATCTTCATAGTGGAAACATTTTGCAAGATGATTTGGATAACGCGTATATTACAGATTTGGGACTCTCTAATACAAAAAAAGAAGTGTGCAGGGTTTTACCTTATATGGCACCAGAAATTTTACAAAAAAAACCATATACTCAAGCAGTTGATATTTATGCTTTGGGTATTATTATAACTGAAATATCAATAGGAAGAAAGGCGTTCGATGGTTATAACTTTGATAATGAACTTGCGATAAAAATTTGCTCTGGATTAAGACCAGAATTTGCACCAGGTACTCCTGACTGTTATATTAAATTAGCCAAGCGCTGCATGGATTCAACCCCAGGAAAGCGACCTACTATTCGATATATTAATACTTTATTACTTATTGGATCGAAGAAATGGAAGTTTATGATTATGAAAGCGAAGTAAAAAAACTATTTTTTGAAGCTGATAAAATTAAACCTATCATTGAACCGACAAACCATATTTATATTAGTAAATCTATCGATATACAAGAAATATCAAGCAGACTATCTGAACCGTATGAAATTCCAGTAGTATAGTACGATAATGTAAGTTGGTATACCATACTCGTAGCACGTACGGCGGATTTGTCAAATTTAACTAATTTTTGGTCCCAAATTTAAGATTTAAAAGCAAATTTTATTATTTATTTTTAAGATTAAACCCCCTAAAAAAAACTATTAGCAGTCTGATCTGTAATAACAATGCATCTAACCCACATTCCCATACGTTTTCCCTATTTCTGTACAATTCAGAAACCCCATTTTAAAATTATCGTACCAACGTACAATTTAATAATTTGCAATAACATTAACAGTATTTTATGAATAACAGAAAATTTAAAAGCATCATAATAATACATTACATATATGTGAAGTAAATTAAATGACTCACAATCGATGGTCAAAATTTTCAAATTTTGGGGCGTTTTACAATTCCGCCGTAACGCTAATATTAATATATACAGTATTTGATAATATATATCGATTCGAAAGAATCCTTTAACTAAAAAAAATTTACCACAAGTAACCATAATATAAAAAGAACAATTCTAGCCTATCTAGTTCTAACTATCTTAACTTTATATCAATTAACCATGCATAATACTAAAAATCAATTTGGAGTCATACGATATAGTTATGTAATCACTAAATTTAAAACAATTTTATAAAGTTTTCATTTAAATTGTACTGTAAATACACTTTTATAAATCATTTAATTTTGTTCATTAGCTACATTGTTAAGATAAATAATAAATAATCAATTGCATCAAGTTAATCTTACATATAAATAAAAGTATCCTTGCAATTTACATTTTGTCAGGATTTTGGTCTTCAAGAGCCTGTTTCTGGATTTTAACCCAATTCCAACCAACTAAATGTATTTGTACTGTAAGCGTGAGGTAATATCCTTTTTGGTACGGTACAGCTTTGAGTTGGGTAAAAATATTTATTGCACGGGTCTTATGTAACAACCTGTGCAAATTTGACAAGCTTATTTTCACTGATCTATATGAGAATCATGTGATTCATATAGATCAGTGAAATTCAGAAATTAGTTTTAAAATACTAAATCAAAAATTCAGGACCGGGAAACGTATTTTGAGCGGGTAAATTCTTAAAATTTTGGGCTAGAAACTTAAATTGGGTGTGAATTTTTTTAAAATTCTTAAATTTAGAACTAGAAAACTTAAATTAGATGAAAATTTTTAAAATTCTTAAAATTCAGGGCCAGAAAACTTAAATCGGGCAAGAATTTTTTAAAATTTTTCAAATTCAAGGCCGGGAAACTTAAATTGGGTAAGAATTTCAAAATCTTAAAATCTAGGGCCAGGAAACTTAAATTGGCAAGAATTTTTAAAATTCTTAAAATCCAGAGCCATGAAACTTAAATTGGGCGAGAATTTCAAAATTCTCAAATCCAGGACCGGAAAACTTAAATTGGACGAGAATTTTCAAAATTCTTAAAATCCAGGGCGAAGAAGCTTAAATTGGGTAAGAATTTCAAAATTCTCAAAATTCAGGGCTGGGAAACTTAAATTGGGTGAGAATTTTCAAAATTCTTAAAATCCAGAGCTGAGAAACTTAAATTGGGTGAGAATTTCAAAATTCTCAAAATCCAGGGCCAGGAAACTTAAATTGGGCAAGACTTTTTTAAAATTCTTAATATTTGGGTGAGAATTTCTTTAAAATTCTTAATATTTAGGACCAGGAAACTTAAAATGTGCAAGAATTAACTTAAAATTGTATGATTAAAATCATAAAGCTTTTAATTATTTATATTTAATAAAAAATCTTTTTTTTTACAATATAAAAAAAGAATTTTTGCATCATATTTTTAATTCTCGAATTTAAGATTCAACATAATTGTCAATTGCTTGTCAGTAGGTGGGATTTGCAATATGATGTTTTGCGTAATTGGATTAAGAACTTGTCGAGTTGTTTGATCATCTAATACAACTTGAGGATTGTTTTGTGCTTGTGCTTTGATTGAACTAGAGGATTAGTATTATTTTGCTAAATTTTTTGTAGTAGATTATTGCTTGACGTATTCTTTAAAAGAGGTAACTTGAAAGGTTCATAGAGTTTTGATTTATATTGAGAATTGTTTAAGGCTTTAGCAGTCTTTAATTTTTTTTTCAATATATTATATTTCTTTTGATTGTCTGTAATTGAAATTTTTAATAAATACTAATTATTATACCTTATTTTTTTTTATTAAAAAAAAAAAATTGTCTTCACCTTCAATTTCTATCAAATATTTATTATTTATATTGCCATTAACACTATTGTTATCATTATTGCTATTACTAATATCAGCTTCACCATTATTATCATTATCATTATTGACATTCTTACTTTTAGACTTGTGAGTATACAAATCACTCAGATAAGAATAAAATTCTTCAAGATTATTGTCGATTGCTACATATAGGATCAAAGTTGCCATTAAAATTAATCATTGATTGTCAGTAGGTTTACTATATAATCTAATCTCTTTATGGGATCTATAACCTAAAAAACACATTATTTCATCTTTAGATATATCTAATGCCCATAGAGCATTGAAAATCATCTGAGTTAATCACTGATCTGTCTGTGTAGAATGTAAGGTGTGAGGAGTGAAGATTGAAGTTTGCAATATGTTGAAGAGTGTTAAGAGCAGCATTATTTGTGAAGATTGCGGGGATTTGAGAGGCAAGTATGGAGAGGTTTGGGATCGCATTGAAATTAACAGATTTGTCTGGGTTTAGTCTGCCTAAAAACTTGGCCGCATGGCTAGTTGGGATAAAAAGGGAGTATTTGCCATTGATAATGTGAGAGTTAAGAGAGCAATTAGAACATGAACTTGAGATAATATCAGGAATAGAATATATTGAAGAAGGGGTTGTTGGAAGGTTGCATTGCCAATATGTAATTAGTGTAAAGCCAGAGTTTGTAGATTGGTGACAAGCTTTGCCAATAATGGCTTGGTTATGGTGGAAAGTTAAAAGCCAGGGCTTGGAGTATTTGTGAAAGTGACCTGTACAGTAGCTATAGTAGTTAGTAGGTAAAAGGTTAAGCTGCCTAGAAATAAGGCAGTTATATGAGGAATTAAGGATGGAATTTTCAAGAAATGTAAACCAATGGGAAATTTTCCCTTTAGGAATTTTGTTAAGTCTTGGGGATATATGTTTCTAGTCTAAAAGGTGAGAGTTGTTAGTAGAAGTAAGTTGATCTAAGAAAAGAATATGATGATGCCAAAGTTGTTTTTTGAAGGTAGGGTATTTGGAGTGTGCTAATAGTATAGATTCTAATGTAGTAGATCCTTTATAAATTGTGAAAGGGATATTTGTGTCAGAGCTTGGACAAATAGTCCAGTTAAGATGTTAAAGGAGTTGTATTATTTTAAAACTAGTGGTAAGGCAGTTGGGGCCATTAATAATAGGGTTTAGATAGGAAAGAATACTAGTAGCAGACCAGAGATTATTTTGAAGTTGTTGAATTCTGATTTGAGTAGAGATACCTAGGAGAGATTTGTTGTTAAGCTATTTAATAAAGTTTGGAATGTGGTGTTGAAGTTGGATATCCCAAATATTTTTAATGCTGTATATGTAAGGATGTAATAAGATGCTTGTGGGTATGGTATGACAAAGCTTAGCTTTGTGTTTAATAAGGTTAATATATTGTTAAAAGATTTTGTTGCATGAAGATTGGTTGAGAACAATGTTGTGTATTCTGTACTCTAAAGTAGGAATAATAACAATATTAATAAAATAATGAGCTTGAGTATTAGTTATTTGTTTGGTGCTAGCAATTTTGGTGAGTTGAGATGATTTGGCCATGATAAGTTGAGATTGTTTAGTATGTTTGTTATTGAGTATAAACCAGCAGCCTAAGAATTTAAAAAGCTGATGTATAGGCCAGAGAGGAAGTGTCACATTGTTAAATATAATTGGATTGTATGAGTTGGGTTTGGTGTTGAAGGATGGAATAAATTTGGATAGGTTAACTTGAATATTTGCTATGTTGTAAAAAGATTCAGTGATAGTAAGAATATTAGTTAGCTCTGTTTGGCTAGATGCAATTTACAAAGTATTATCTATATAGGCCAAGATAGAGCAGTTAGTTTCAAGTTTGTTAAATATGTGGTTTTTAAGGTTGGTTGGCTATAATATTGAAGTTGTATGGCCAGTAAAGGTAGAGTGTATGTGTGTAATAAGTGGGTCATAATATATGCACCAGAGCAAGAGAGTAATAGTCTCCCCTTGGTCAATACCATTTTGAACCTGGTATGAAGAAGTTAGTCCAAAGTTGGTTATAACTTCATTATGGTGATTAATGAGTAAATCAGTGAGAATGTTGATAATAGTTTGGGGTAAGGAGAGATGGCAAAGAAATTGTCTGAAGAGGTTAAAGTTAACTAAATTATAAGCCTTGTTCATATCTTATGATAGCAGCCAAAGCTCTTTGTGATTACAGTTGGCATATTCAATAAGGCTGTTAAGGATATGGATAGGAATAGATATACTATTGCCTAGTAGGGCAGCATAGTTGAAGGGTGAAAGGATAGGGTGTTAGGAGAAGATTTGGTTAAGTTTGTTTGTTAGAATTTTAATAAATATTTTCCTAATGTGTTCAATAAGGCTAATTGGTTGAGTGAGGTTGAGATTCCCATCAAAAGCATTGTTTTTAGAAATAGAATATATTTTGCCATGTTTCTATAGCTTGGGTATTGTGTTTTGGAATAAGCAATAGTTAAAAAGTGCAGTAAGAACAGTAATGCAGTGTTGTTCAAGTGATTGATCATTTCTTAGCTAATACTGGTAGGGCCACAGGCTTTGCTATTAGGAAGCTTAGAAATGGTTAGAAGGACTTCATCTTTAGTTATAGGGTTAGTAAGTGGTGTATACCATTCAAGGTTAATATAAGGAAGTGGTTGGTATTGTTGTTGCCAAAAACTGTTGAAGATGGTTTGATCAACAGGTTTGCATACAGTCCAATTTGAGAAGTGTTATTGGATATGTTGTTTGATTTTAGCAGGATTGATAATGAGCTAGTTGGGAAGTTTGATATTAGTAAAGTGTATAGAGGGTTGGTATCGGTCAAGTATACTGTTAATAGCTTGGGTAGGTTTTGAGACAAGTGTTTCACATCTTTTTTCAGAAACCTGGTTGATTTGTTGACATAGACGAAGAGAGTGTTCGAGATGATAGGCATGATAAATTTGTTTCCAGATAGTGTGTACATATGATAACCATAATTAAATGTCGTAAATATTAAGTGATTAGAGTGGCTGAAGGTTATATTTGGAATAGGTATTGATGATAAGGATTTGTAAATTAATATGTGGAAGATATAGATGAGACTGATTATTGTTGTTACTAAGCGTCTTAATGAAAAGACTAAGTTTTTTAAGCCCAAGATGGAGTGCAGTACATAAAGGAGTATATTTGTGGTTGTAGCTACGTTTTTATGTAATTTTGTTAGGGATAGTTTAATACTCTTTAAGGTATTTAGTGCAAGTAGAATATGACTTTGTGTAATTAGTTATGAGGTAAGCTCAGAAAGTTGCTGGCTAGTAGTAGCTTTATAGTTAAAGATTCAGTGACTAATATTGGTATGAAGATGTAGGGTTTGCTAAATATATTAAGAAATATCCAAGAGGTTAAAGTATAAAGTGGTTACTAAGAGTGCTTGTTTTACTATTGTCAAGGCTATAAGAGAAGAGGAATTGTATATTAAAAGAATTGGCTCAGATATAGTCAATTATGCTGGAGTTTATATTATTTGACCAGATATGTTGGGTGTTGTTAAAATGAGCACCAATGTCAAACATATTTGAGTGGTATAGGAAATTGATAAGTTTGAATCTAGGTGATGAGCTAAGAGTAGTGTCTTGTATATTAAAGTCACCAAGGATAATAGGCTAAAGGTTAAGGTGCTAGGCTTGGAGTATCCAATTGATTACAGTGTTTGTGTAAGATTGTGGCGAGTAGGGTTAGTTGAGGAAAGATAGACAGAGATTATACAGAGTTTGATGTTGCTTTTAAAAAAGAGATCTAATGCAATTGCTCTACCAGGGTGTGTGAGGCAGCTATAGACATGGGGCTTAAGATGGTTATGAACCATAATAGCTACACCTTCTATAGAGCTTTGAGAGTTGGCTCAGTAGTAAGTGTAAAGATTGCTATTACAGAAGGATAATTTGGTTTTGTTAAAGATTTTAGTTTTAGTAATACAAGCTATAGAAATATTATAATCGATGCAGTAATCTTGCCAAATTTGTCTTTTGAAGACAACATTAAAGCCTCTAACATTATGAGTAGTGATAGTAAGATGAAGGTTATACAAGTTAGAATGTTCATTTTGGGGATTATGAGTATGTGATTTGAGTAGAACATATCTAAACCACTGTAAAAGATTCTGGAAAGGAGATAAAAAGTGGTTTGTAAGTATTTGGTGTTTATGGAGGAGGTAGATATGTGCCTTTGTATAATTATCTTTCTTGTTTTTAATATTGAGTATAAAGATTCTGATATACAGAGGTGAGATGTATGAGGAGAAGTTGTGTTAGAGATAGCTAAGGATTGATTGTATTGTCTAAGAGTGTTTGAGTAGAGGTAGCTTGTGATAAAATAAGAATTTGTTATAGCATGTTAATGGGTCAATAGGGCCAAGTTTCTTGGTTACTTGTGTTATTGTTTCAAGTTGAAAGTTGACAGAGTCATTATCTGTGTTAGATAAAAGTTCATGATTGGATAAAGAGTAAGTAGAAGAAGTAGGTTGTTGAGAGAGTGGTGTAGTGTGTGGATCATAGAGGGCTAATAATATTGAAAATGATACTATAGAAGGGTTGTCTTCTATAGCGTTCACCATATACCTGGCTTGCATAGTTCTGCAAAAGTTAGCAACAGTCAGATTATATATTAGAAAGTTGTTCAAGTCTAACTCTTCTGAGTAAATGTGCTTATCCAACTGCCCACTTATATCATTCTTCTCTCTAACTACAATGGATGTATCTTTTAGAGAGATGGTAGCTGCATTTATGAGGTTTGTAGAAGACAGGTTTATTGGAAAAAAGACTTACTAAGAAATAGTG